ATGGTCAAGCACATTGAGAGGAAGTGCAGTGCATAAGAACCATAACTCCATCTTGACTAATTACAGAGTTACTGCCCTTTGTTACTTTTCCTTGTCCAGAGCATGACTTGAAAACTACTGGTTGGAATTCAAAACAACTTCATACAATGGTCAAGCACAATAAGGGGAAGTGCAGTGCACAAGAACCATAACTCCATCTTGACTAATTACAGAGTTATTACCCTTTGTTACTTTTCCTTGTCCAGAGCATAACTTGAAAACTACTGTTTGGAATTCAATATAACTTCATACAGTTGTCAAGGACATTAAAAGGAAGTGCAGTGCACAAGAGCCATAACTCCATTTTGACAAAAATACAGAGTTACTGCCCTTTGATACTTTTCCTTGTCCGGAGCATAACTTAAAACGTACTGGTTGGAATTCAAAACAACTTCATACAATGGTCAAGCACAATAAGAGGAAGTGCAGTGCACAAGAACTATAACTCTATCTTCAGTATTTATAGAGTTATTGCCCTTTGTTCTTTTTCTTTGTCTTTCTGGACTTATTACAGAGTAATTCAATTAAACTTCATCAATGGCCAACCACATTGAAAGGAAATGCAACATACATGAACCACAATTATCTTTAATTGCCCACAACCATAACTCTATGTTTCAATTCTTTTACAAGGTATTCTGTTACTAGTAACATCCTCATTTCCGAAGCAGAATTGTGGGGGTATTAATCACATTTAGTGATAGTTCTAGTTTGGACTTTGTTTTTACCTCAACACTCATCTTAAGGGAAAAGAGTCAACTCGGCCCTATACCAACTCGGCACGGGTCAACTCGGCACGGGTCAACTCGGCCCACTTTACAAAAATATATAGGCCTATAACGTATTTACTTTGCTTTGCATGTTGTTAAGGTAAATGAATAATAAGAAATATCTTAAATTATTATTATTAAATAATTATACATTGTACCTCTGCTGAAATAAAGTATATTTAGAAAAAAAAGTTATTTATTTGTCTTGCAGATTCGATAAAATTAATATAGACACAGGCACGATTATCGAACCTGGGAAGAAAAAATATGAACAGATTGATAAAATAACTTCATATTTTTTCTTCCCAGGTCCGATACTTGTGCCTGTGAATATAGATATAATAAAAATGTGTTTCCTTAGATGCATTTTGTTTGTAAAGTAATTTTCAAGAAAATATTAACAAAAACATGTTTACTCAATAGCATAAGCTCCTAATTAATTGCAGGTGGTCACTAATCAAATTTGAATGAATGAGTCAATCATAATTATCACCTAATTAATCGGTATCTTTAACATACACATTGATTGATTACTGTATTCCTAGAAATGTTCGCGGATACAATATTTCGCGTTTTTCACAACGTCGGCATTTTCGCGGAGACAAACTTTCGCGGATATGTACTAACCGCGAATTCCGCGAATGTTAAGTTGCTACGGCCTAAATTACAGTTTTTGGAGGTTACGTTTTTGATGCATGACCTTGCCTGGTGGGTGCTTTAATTATTTTATTTCAAGTCACCCCTAAAGCGCAACGTTACTCGATACATTTTCATCTATTGACTACTCGAACATGGACGGTTGTTCCGTCAACACTTTCATATTTCCTTACCTTTTTCATTATGTTATTAAGTAAGATTTAGTCAGACCAGTTACCTTTTATTCTCATTTGAATAATAACTGACTCTATCTCCAAAATGTAGATACGTATTTTTTTACACATTATCGGACTGTACATCGCTTTCATTTAACAACATAACAGCTATTTATCAATGTAGCACTTGATCGCTATTGTACTTTTAACAAAGGATTACACCTACTCCAAGCAAATGAAATCCAAGTCATTCAATGTTTGCAAACTGTAAATGCGTTTGTCAACGCCGTGACTAGCAAATAACGTCAATAAGCATGTTAATTACTAATAATTGATTTTTTTTTTTCAACGTGAAAACTAGTATCAATAACATACATAAATAATTCTTTACACATTTCTCTAAAACCTGTGTTTATATGTTGTTTTGTGTAAGTAGATTATAATAAATATTCTGCATTTTTTATGTTATATTTGGTTGAAGCTAGAAATGTTCGCGGATTTTTTATAAGTGACATATTCGCGGCTATAAAGATTCGCGGAATCATGCCTACCGCGAAAACCGCTAACTTAAAATGCGCGAAATCTTTTCTAGGAATACAGTATAATAGCCCGTGACAATAGGAGTCCTTTGATGTCCTTTGCCCATTTTTAAAAGTGGGCCGAGTTGACCCGTGCCGAGTTGGAATAGGGCCGAGCTGACTCGGGGGCCGAGTATGTTTTAGGGCCGAGCTGACCCGGATTCATCTTAAGTTGGTGTTAAACTTAATAAGTGATACTTACAGGCAACCAGTGTAAAGACTTCAACATCTCACCAAAGTGATCAAGGTTCAGGATGAGCTAAATCACATTGCAGTCTTCCATTGTCTGTCATCTATTGTTTTACATTTTTGTGTAGCATCCTCGTGACCATGTTACTGTACTTTGCTGATATTATAGTACAGCCCATTTTGATGTTAGTAGAGGAAAACTAAGAAAAATGTCATAAATTATCATTTCATTAACAAATGAATGGAACACCACACTTCATCTGTAGTAGGTTCTCTATAAAGTTTGTTAAAAAAGCATCAGTTACCCTCATTATTAATGCTCATTATTTCCTATAAAATTGCCCCCCTCTTATTTCCTACTACTAAACTATGTAATTGTGTTTTGTGATGTGTTTATATAAGATGTTGTCACATTGTGAGGAGTGTCAGTTGATGTGATACAGGAAATTTAGAGACATTTGGAAGCTTATAGGGAAATGGTTAAGGACAGAAAGATCATTCTGATTAAAGTTTGTGCATATCAAATAACTGACATGAGGAAATAGAAACATTTATAATAATTGCTTCCTCTTTTAATTGTTAATTAATTGCGTATTCTACTTCAGTTGATTAGATTTCCTTATTCACAGTCACAGTAGCTGTCAGCCCACTCTAATTTCTCGCTGTATATAGACTATAGTTAATTAATCACAACTAATGGTAAATTCTGGACACCACTGTTTAAGCACAAAAGACAAAATGTTAACCTTAAAACTTAAATTTTAAGTACATGTTCTTATAAACAACTGTAAAAGTCATCAGAAAGGATACTGCATGTACACAATGACAATAAATACACTTTAATATAACTAGAAAGACAATGTTTGACATGAAATGGAGCACATCAAAATTTTCAACTGCTATATATTCTAGACTACAATGGGCCAAGTCTGAATCTGTACTGGAATGACAGCATGAGAGGTGATATCCTATGGTTTCCTGTCTGTATCATGAATTCTTTGAATGACTCAGTTTGCCCTGAGCACCTGTGTTGATCCCCCAGCACCTGTGTTGGAGAAATGATTAATAAAAGTTCTATAACATAATCTAGGAAAGTTCAGTATTTAAAATGTATAATATTGCCAATACTTTTATTTATATGCTTTCTTTGGCATCAAACTGAAAGCAATTATTTCACATATCAAAAGAATAAAAGTGCTTCTTTGTTTATTATAAGACTAACACCTCAGTGTTTTTGAAGTGAAAAATAATGATATTAAGTTTTGATCATTTTTATAACCTTTTTCACATATTTTATAAGTATAGCTGTGTGTGATACTAAAAGATGAGTGCTTTGTCTTGAAATTTTGCTCAGTTTGTAGTAAACCATGTAGTATTTATCTATATTATACTTTGAATTGATATGTCAGGGTATATAAAGATAAGATCAGTGAGTAAATCATTGTAGAGAAATTGCTCAGTAAAACTGTAGAATCAGCCTATACTTTATCTAGGTAGGTAATTAACATAGACCATTAATAAAACAAGATATTGATAGTCATTCAATCATACATTGTCTAGTATTCAGCATAATTAAAGATCAAAGTTATTGGTTTATCTTGAGTATAGATAAGAAATTGGGCAAGTTGAATAATGTATGATTGTATTCCCCTGTAGACCAGTCTATACACTAACCTATTGATTCTTCAAACATTGTTACACTGCTTACACTGATGGAATGTCTGTCTGTAGAGATACTGGCATCTTTACTAATGTTTGGTGTTAAGGTGTCCATCCATTAATACAATTGTATTACCTTGTATAGTACTGTTATCTTCTTAATACCCAATGCTGCTCATTAACTTTGAATTAATGATTTAAACAGTCAAAATTTGAAAGATCTTCTCAGTGGTTAATAGAAATACTTAAGTGTTTTTAATTAACATGTAAATTTAAAAGTACTGTAAACTCTGCTGAAGTCAAAGGGGTTAATTCAGATTAATGTTACATTTAATGTAGAAGAGTGTAGAGTTAATATAATCTTTTGTTGTTAATTCTATATTTATTCCTTATAATGCATTAGCCATTATAATGCCAGACCCAACTCCTTGCATCTGCTCACAATCAAATGTTGTAATAGCCCAAATGTCTTAAATATGTTCTACACAGGGATTTATAATTTATAATCATTTTCATTTTGACCTATTAAAGTTAATCATTTAGAGACCCATATGATAAGTATATTTTATTTTTCATCATGTAAATTTTGATAGGTTTCATTTTCATGGTAAATTAGTCAGAAATATTTTTTTATAACATAAAGTGCTTTATTTGCCCATCATTTCTTTAACAAGTGTGTGTATATTTAATTACATGTGTATTATATATTGCATTAAAAGGTTTTAGTTTATATAGTAAGATATTTTTAAGTGTAATGATTTACAAGAGCCTTGTAGAAATGTTGGCCTTGTATTTAAGATTCTTTGTCTTGACTTTCATTTTGTTTGGGTGAAGAATTTCTTTGTCTCCCCTGAGTTCAGCTACTCCCTATCAGCACCAAAATGGTAATGTAAAAGCTATGTTTTATGTTATAATTTTTAAATGAAATAACAAACTACACATATATATTTCAGGTTGACATGCCTGTGTTTTTCTACATAGATCCAGAGTATGATGAGGACCCAGAACTGGAGTTTGAGGACAATATCACATTATCTTATACATTCTTTGAGGCTAAAGACGGATTTAATCTTCCACTACCAGGATTCCTTCAACCTCAACTTCAACCTCAAACTACAAAAGAGACAGCCTGAAATCTCACACTGTCAGTCTATTGTTATAACTGTGATCAATATCCTCCTCACTGTTCAGCATGTAATTCTATCTAGGATTAAGGATTATGGCTATTTGCGAAATAATAATATTTTAAATTAAAAAAAAACACAAATGAAAAAAAAAAAAAAAAGAAAAAAAAAAAAAAATGAATGAACTTCTTGAATTGGTTGTTATGAGATGAAATGCTGCACTGAATCATGTTTTTAATGTTTAATTTACCTGTGATGCAGGAAGTGATAAAAAAGAATGTCTCAAGATACACAAACAAACATTAAAAAAAAATCTGAAGTTGCAGAGTATGAGAATAAGCAAATATTGTCAACAGTCTTTATTACATTATGCCCAGTATCCATTGTTGTAGGAGTTCAAAGTTAAAAATTTGTATTTATTATTAATCAAAGCCTTTTAGTTTGTTTATATTGGTTTTATTTTGATTCTTGTCATATTTTTCCAGTACAGGAGTTTTAGGGCATTTGATATTGAAGCCAAAAATTGTAGATGTTATGTAGATAAATGTTCCATTGTTTTATTTATGCAATAAAAGCTCTAGAAAAAGAAAGGATGATGGTCATTTTGAAGTTTGCTTTTCATTAAAGAAATTTGATGTAATATGATCTCACAAGATCAAATAAAGATGTTAAGATGTTACATGTATATGTTTGTATAAAGCCATCTGTTAAAATAAATCTATCTGGTTTTTTTCCACTTTTTATTTTGTTGATCTTTTATATCATTTAAAGTACCCCACAGGGTATAGATTGTCTACTAGAATAAGAACATGTGTCTGTATTTATTTTTATTATATGTGTGATCAATTCAACCATTGTTAGCAACTTAGCAAGATCAGATAGCTACATTTGTTAGCTCACCTGTGCACATCATGCCCGTGAGTTGTAGTGTGTTGTCAGGACTGCTGAACAAAATGACCATCAGAACTAAAAGTAAATATAAACCTTTAAATGACATCTTCATCTAAACAGCTGGGTAGATTTTGATGATTGTTTACAAAACTTGTTCAAAATGTTCTAGTCTGCTAAATAAGATGCCCACTTGAGCTAAAAATAGAAAACCTGAAACTCAAACAATAGGGGACATCATGACGAAACTTTTCAGGAATGGTCAGATTTATTAAGACGATCTTTAACAAAAAAAATGGCTTGAATTTTTCTGGTTTGTTGCACAAGAGATGGCCACCAGACTTAAGAATAGAAATGATTTTTTAAAGACATCTTGCCAATGCTGCAGGTTTTGATGAAACTTTACAGAAATGATCATTTGGTGATCTTAAAAAAAAATATTTTTCTGATCTGCTTACCAAGAGTTAAAGATAGAAATAAGCTTTAAACCACATTTCCTAATAACCAAAGTTTGATCTAGTTCATTAGGAATTTGTTATTCTTGGGTGGCTTCTTTACAACAATTGCTAAAATCATTAAACTGCACAACAAAATGGATAACTTTGCATGAGTTTAATATCAAAATGATACCTAAATGACATCTCAAATACTTGGCAGATTTGTTTAAAACTTTGCAGGAATGGCCTAATGATGTAATCTTTTACATGTAAACTTTATGTTCAGGTGAGACCTAAAGGGTCATCATGGATCTCTTGATTTGACAGACATACCAAAAGCAATTAAATTTGAGGAGTCATTAAAGCAATTAATATTGTTAAAATATAAAAGTTACAGCTAGTCAAGGTCAAGGATTCAAAAGTGAATCTTGATATATATATATCTAATACTTGACTATCCAAACACATACTTAGTCTAGGTTGAAGGTTTATCTTGTAATCATGATAATTAATTAGTATTATCTTTAATTATTTAATGTGAAGAAGTTATTAGTTAAGGAGCCACTAACATCATACTATATTTTCCGGATGCTAGAATTCGTATAAGTGGTTCTGTATTGACAGGAACATTTATACATTTGCATAATTTAGAGCTATATAAGCACTTTGTACTGTGTCGCAAAACTATTTCAAGTGTTTACTTGAATGTCAAGTGTACCATATCAGTAATAATACAAAGATTTGCTTGTTACAAAGTTATCAGTATTGCTTCACACTTGCAACATGTGAATGTACATGTAACAAACATGCCAGTAACAAATATATGAAGAGATTTTGTTTTAACAAAAGTTGATATATACATTTTAAATACTGCATAAGATAAAACAATGTAAATAAGATCAAAAATAAATTTATACTAAAATACAGCACATATACATTGTTTGCTGACAAAATTAAAAATGTTAAGTGTTTTTTGGAGGAAAACTGGATCATTACAACCAGGATTTCAAGTTGACATATGTGGGGAATGTTAACCCAGGAGAAATCATTGCTGTCATTAAATTGTTTATTTTTCTAGATATTTTATGTAAGAGATACTACAGTTATTTGTAACCGATACCAAAATTTATACATTTATTTTACCAGATATATGACCTTGTATTCAGGCTAGTAAGAGGCTTTTTAGTTTAACTGGCTCCTTTTACTATTGTTATATACACATACCCTTATTGTTATATATTAAAACCATCCAAAATAACAATACAAGGTTTAATGTAACCATAATTATACCTTCAGCTATCAACTTTCCACACTTTAAATTATGTTTTAACATTATACAATGTAAACAACAGTGAATTATTTTGTAAATTCTTTTAAGATAATTTTAATGGTGATTTTATTATGTCTTTCAAACATTTTAATTTGTAACATGAAGGTAGAAATGCATCAGATAAAAGTTATCTTCCCTGTGAGATTCAAACGCATGACCACTCGGCTTACAAGCAAATTATCACAATGTTATAGGCCATCAAGCAAAATAATCTATTTACTAATGAAATCTTCAGAGTTGAATAAATTTGTAGAAATCAATGTTGGACTGGTATGTACTTTAATGTTATATAAAAAAGTATTCTGAATTTTTCAGTTTTTCATGCTAAAAGAATCATTTTACAAAATGTAATTAAAGTTAACATGCATGTTTGATATTTATTTTAAAAGCTCAAATTCAAGTTCAATTAGTTGAAATGAAAGTTTTTATATAAACTTGATTTCAAACAATGGACATTTTGTTCATGTAAAGTTTAATTTTTGTTTAATGTTGCAAATAATGAAATATGGTTAAATTTCTACAAAGGTTAACTTTATTCATTATATCTTGTTACTGCTGAAAATCCATTTATATTTTATTTTTATGTCAATTAAGGACAATTTAAGGAGAATGGATTGGTTTTTTTTTTAGTTACATAATTAACAAGTAATTACAATACTTACAGCTGTGTAAAGTGTTTAATGGTTTTTTAACATGGCAAAACTTTATAAAAACTTGAGACAGGAGATATGTTTGAATATTTTGGAAAGATTAATAATTTAATACAAGGGTCTTAGGTTATAAAGACAGTCTATAAGCTCAAACTTGGGTCTCAGTGATTTGATTGGTCAGAAACTGCCACTGAATGTTCACTGATCAATGATAATTGACATAGAACTAAAAATTTGTTTAAATGTCCGGGCCAGTATACTTTAAACCTCTAACATAATATACACCACATCACCATCAGGTCAATATGTGTTTGACTAGAATTTACAAGAATACCTAGAATGTCAGCATGATCTTTAGTGCTCCATAAATATCAAATGCTGGAACAAGAGCCACATTTCCATGTTTGGCAATGACCATAAAACAGTAATTGAATTCAATTCTTGTAGTCGGGAAGTCTGAGGCAAACATCAAAATTTACCATAAAACACATAAATATCTACTGTTTTTTTTTAGAGAACTCTGGCATTCTACCAGATCAGTCAAATTCAGTATGAAAGTCTCTTAAATACAGTCTCCTGAAATAGTTTGATATTTATTCATGCAAATATTGCATGTTAGATTATTCCTTGCTGACCTTCTCTTGCTGAAGATTAAGTCTTCATATTATTATTTCACCCTCAGAATACTCTACAAATCCAGTGTTGAGGTGCCACTTGTCTTGTAGAAGACTCGCTGGTAGCATTCTCATTTTAATGAGTCAACACTCTCGGCAAACTTTCTCATATATTTCTAGAGAAATTTATGTCTTCAAATTACATAAATTCTGATTTTGACTCCAGATGCATAATGAATAAACTGTGAAGTTAATAAAATACCATAGAGGGGGAATTTGTGAATTTCTTTAGAATGTGAAAAGTTTCTCAGCAGTTTCAAGGTTTTACAAATGAGCTCATTTATAAAAATAATTTATACTAACAAACTGAAAACCGTTATGAATAAGATAAAACCATTAAAACAATGAAAAAAATATTGCAAAATTGCTTTTGATATTTTCAAGGACAAATTTGATAAAGGAAAGGTAAGGAAAAAAACTTTGTTTTTTCTTCTAATAAAAGGAAGGAAAAGGATGATAAACTTGTGTGAAATTTTGAAATAATTAAATAATTTGTAAAGTGGAAATGCATGGTCAGCATGATCTCTTCCTTATAGAGGTTTCTCCCAGGTGAAGAAAGTGTTTGTAACAGCAACATTTAGTACCACTTCCTTGTTGAGGTTATTTTGATAGAATATATTAACATTCTAGTTCAAAATCTTAAGTTATTTGTTTATGTTGTGATGGGAAATACAACTTGAAAGTCATTATAATATGAAAAAATGATTTAAGTGGACAAAGATACTTGTAACATAATTGTTTTCAATTCTGTTTATCAAGATATCCCAAATTACATGATACTTGCAATGCCTGCAGTATAAAACAAGAAGAAAATTGGCAATCTTGGTATTTAATACAAGTACTGGATGCTTCATTTAATCTTAATTCAGCATTTTACAATGGCAGATATAATGTTTGATGCCTGAATCAACAAATAAAACAGTTTTATAAAATTTGAATGAGTGGAATGATTTAATGATTTTCATATAGATTGTACAGTTGTATCATTATAACAATGATGTGGGTAGTTATATCATGGGTGCTAGCAGTGATGACCTAACTTTACCAGCAACAGAGCAGGCCCACTTGCACATTCATACATTAGTTCTAGCATTTTGATGATTATGTAAATCTTATTACATATGAGTGCTCATCTATAACTCCACAA